CAGTGGGAGGTGCCTAAAAGGAACTGGGCTTCTGGCCTGGCCAGGGGCATGGCCTCGTGGGCGGGGGCAGAGGAGGAGCAAGGGGTGGGGCTTTATGGTGAGGCGGGGCTTAAGGTGCACCTCAGCTGCCCTACCAATGGGGAGAGGCGGGTGTCATTCAGCCTGGGCCTTTGACTTGAAATGTTCATGGAGGGACGGGTGTCACCCAGACTGCAGCGGCTGTGTCTACCGAGGCGGTCGCCTGACCGCGAGGGGCTGGCCCCCACCGCTGTCAGACACTGACAAGCCTCAGCCCCTCTCGCTCTGGCCGGGCTTTGAATCGACACCCTCGCAGTTCCAGGCTCCGTCTTCCCGCTCCCCGGCCGGGTCCGGCCTGTCAGAGCCAAGCGCGCTCAAGCGCCAGAAACCAACGAGCCGCGAGGCAGAATCCATCAATCTGTCCTGGAGCGGAGGTCTCTCCACACCGCTGCACCGCGTGAATACCCCGTTCCTCATGCCGCACGGCGGAGCTCTCCCTGTGACAGGTCAAGGGAACAATCACGAGCCACCTTGCAAATCTCTTTTGACGGCCTGCCAGGGCTAGGCAGGGACAGGTTCTGCGGTGACAGGCGGCGGAGTAATTCTCTTGTCGCCGCTGGTGTGATTCCAGCATTACACCCGTGTCGCTGAGCCCGGAGTCACATGGGTGGGTAACGCTGGCCTTTGAGTTCTTGTCCCGCGACACCGTCTGCAACCAGAGCAGTAATTGGGGCAGGTTAGAACGGCCATTGGCACGACTTGGCCTCCTTGCTGGCCCTGGAGCAGCTATTGTTTCCACGGGGACTATAAATACGCACAGCTCCTCACCGCAGCCCGCCAGCGGCCCAGGAAGGTGGCCTACGCTATGGTAAGTCTGTGTCTGGGGCTGCCTGTCTGTGCAACAGCCGCCCACCTATGTGAGACCGGTGCTCCCATTCACTGGTGAACAAGCCGTGCTCTCCGCCCGTGAATCGGTCGCGGGCAGCCACGTTTGCAGTGAGTCTCCCTTTCTTTTCCAGAGGTTTCTGCTGTTCCTCTTCCTCATCCTGCTCGTCTCGGGGTCCCGGTGTGCTGCTCAGTGTTACATGAGACCCTCCAACAAATACGGTAAGAATGGCGAATTCTCCACGCCCGCTCAGGACTTCCATGCAATGGATGGAACGGCTCGCCGACTTAGGAATGGGGGTGCGGGGGCGAGCCGTCGGCTGCAGTGTGACGAAGATACAGGGGCAGTTAGATGCTGTGTCATACAAGAGTGTGTCCAGCCAGACAGCTAGCTAGCTGCGTAGCCCTGAACGGAAAGGCATGGCTGAATTCCTTATGGACTTTCGGGGTATGGCACAGGTGGCTGCCTGTCACTTGGGAGAAAGAACAAAAGATGCTAAAAATCTGCATCTCTCCATTCTGGTTTCCCTGTTCCCATTACTACTCATTGTTAAACACGGACACTAGGCTGGAAGGATAATTTTTCAAGCTATGCTACTTGTCTGCTTTATTGTGTCACGAGAAAGGGGTGGTCTAGTGGGACGGGACAGGGAGGTGGGGGGGAGTTAGGCAGCAGGAGACCTGAATTCCACTCATAGCTCTGCGACAGACTTGCTGCACTAGTTGGAGAGAGGCTTAACTGCTCTGGGCCTCTGTTTTCCCCATCTGTAAAATGGGTGTGTTATTCCTTACGTCCAAGGGCTGCTGTCAGGATTTATTAGATTTTCAAAAGCATCAAAGTGTCTTCACTGCTCAAGTCCTATTAAGTTGCCATAGGACTTTAGGAAACAGATCCCCAAAGTGTTGAGGCACCAAACTCCCATTAACAAGAGGTGCCTAAATACCTTTGAGCATCTGAACCTATGTGCTCACCATATGTTGGTGCTTTTTCATTGTTACTGGTTTAGAGCAGATTGTTCAGGCACCCAAAGCCAATAATCTATCCACCTGCTCAAGCCACGCAAGAGAGATTCAGGTGCCACCCAGCTAACTAGCAGAATGCTTGCAGCCACCCCCATCTGGCAACATATGGGTGGTGCACATTGGCACATGCCTTGGTGCACACCACAAAATTTATTCCACCCATAGATGAAAAAAAAAATTAGAGGAAACACTGAACATGGCCTGCATTCATTCCCGGAACCATTCCACCCACATAGCCAGAGCTTGACTTAACCTCCTGAAAGCTGCGTTTTCCCTCTACATGGCGCTGGCACTTGACCCGGCTCTGTGTTCTGTTGCATGTATCCAGGCTGTGTGGAAAACCGAAAGCTGTATCACTTCGGCGTCGTGTGGAAGACCAAGGACTGTTTCCGATGCGAATGTCAGCCCCACACAATGATCTGCTGCAGCCTGTAAGTCCAAGGAGACGAGGGCTATTTTTAAGAGAGGGTTGACATTAGCCAAATGCTGACATTTCAGAGCACAGTTGCACTGGAATTTTAGCAAATCTGGAGCAACATCCTTCCTCGTGCTCTTCCCTGGACAAAGCAACACACTTTTCTTTGTATCCAGTCTTCTGGGGATGCACAACCGCGCACCTCCAACCACGCAGCCCCAAACTTCTGTATCACTCCTCTTACCCCTTCTCTTGGCTTTGCCACTAGCAAGATCCTCTTTCCCCTGGATGTTTAGCTCTCCCTCGCTCTGGCAGCTTGTCTTGTTTTTGGAGATGCAGGACTCTTCCCTACAGCTCACCAGACAAGAAGTCACGAATATACAGTGAGGACCCTTGGGGTGTGTCTAGACTACTGAGTTTTGTCGACAAAAGTGGACTTTTGTCGACAAAACTATACCTGCGTCTACACTACCACTGAGTTCTGTCGACATAACGTCGACAGAACTCAGCAGTTTTGTCGACGCTGGTAAACCTCATTTTACGAGGCATAACGCCTTCTGTCGACAGAGTTCTGTCGACAGAAGGTGTTATTGCCTGTAGGGTTGCGTCTAGACTACAGGGTTTTGGCGACAAAGCAGCTTGCTTTGTCGACAAAACTGAATGTGTCTAGACGCTCTATGTCGACAGAAGTTTTGTCGACAGTATCTGTCGACAAAACTTCTGTCGACAAAACCCTGTAGTCTAGACGTACCCTTGCAGTGTACGGCACAAGGCACAGCCTCTCTGCATGTATCTCACGGCTAATTATTCTAGATCAGTTCTTCGCAACTTTTCTGTACACAGAGGCTGTGTCTACACTGGCATGAATTTCCAGAACTGCTTAAAACGGAATACTATTCCGTTTTCAGTTTTTCCAGAAAAGGAGCGTCTACATTGGCAGGCTGCTTTTCCGGAAAAGCCCTTTTTCCGGAAAAGCGTCCATGTCCAATGTAGACGCGCTTTTCCGGAAAAGAGCCCCGATCGCCCTTTTCGCGAACGGGGCTTTTTTCCGGAAAAGACTACTGGGCTGTCTACACTGGCCCTTTTCCGGAACAGTGTTCCGGAATAAGGACTTATGCCCGAGCGGGAGCAGAATAGTTTTTCCGGAATAGCGGCTGATTTTGTACAGTAGAGCATCGTTGCTTTTCCGGAAATTCAAGGGGCAGTGTAGACAGCTCGCAGCTTATTCCGGAAAAGCGGCTAATTTTCCGGAATAGGTGGCCCAGTGTAGATACAGCCCCAGAGCACTCGCACATCTAGTCAGGAGGTAGCTGACACTCTGTGCCTTCTAATGTAGGAGGGGCAGGATAGGCATGGCCCTAGGCTGAGAAGCCAAGTATTCAATGCCATTGGGAGTTCCTGCCGAAACTGCTGGTGCCTTCCAGAATATAATCATGATTATGTTCGGGGCTGGTAGGAATCCTAACCAAGGTCGTCAGCGGGTGGAGAATTTTTCAGCCCATTGTTTTGTGGCTGAAAAACTCCAGTTCGTTGCATCCAAAACTGAAGTTTGACAAATCCCCCAACGTCTCCAACTTCTTGAAATGTTGCTCTTTGGCATTTAGAAATGAAAAAAAAAAATGCCACTTTGCCAGTTCAAATCACCTTTAGAAAGTTAAGCTCAGGAGAGTGAGAAAAAGGCTTAAAAAAAAGATCAGCATCAAAACAAGACGTGATGGGAAGAAAATGTTTGGATGGACCCAAAGTGGAAAAACAATGGGGTTTGGGTTCACACATATTTCTGAGATTTTGATGGTTGTCCTGGTTTGAGAATGGAAAGTTTAGAACGCTGGGAAATATTCACTGGATGGGAAAACCATTTCCTCCACAGTTGTAACATATTGAAAAAAAATGTATTCCCGTGCTAAGACTGGAGATCCGGGCCCTGTGTTTCCATAGCAACAATCAGTGATACCCGTTTGGGCTAAATTCATCCCTCAAGTCACTTCCCCTGGAGTGGCACCAGGGATGAATCTGGCCCAGTAAATCTGGCGTTCTTCCCAACCTACGTCTTGTGGCCTGACCGTGCCTGTGTCCTCCTCCCCGACAGCGTTTTCAGACCCGTCAACTACGACCGGGAGAACTGCATTGCCCTGTTCCATCAGAAGACCTGCTCCATGCGCGTGGTGTGGAGGACCGATCCCCACCGACTTTGCCACGTCTTTACCGGAGCGGGCTAGGGCGGGCCCGGAGGGGTCTTCTCATTCCGCAGCTCTGGAGAGGGGAGGGGGGCAGTCACTCGGCCTGGCTTCGGGAAGAACCGGCTCGTGCCCCCCTTTTCCACACACACGCGGCTGCGGCGGCTCTGCACCGATTTGCGACAGCCCTAGTTCCAGATTCTGGCTGGGAACGGCCTCTCTGGTGAAATTGGGGGGTGCAATAAAGACAAACGCATCCAGCGTCTTTTTTTCCTCCTCAACGGGTCATAAACGGGCGAATCCAGGACGCTCACTAAGAACCTCGGTATCGCTTAGATCAGTGGTTCTCCGCCGAGGGATGGGGCTGAGGCCCCTGGGGGTCATGAGCAGATTTCAGGGGGGCCTCCCCTCAAGCAGGGCCTGCGTTAGACTCACAGGGGCCCGGGGCAGAAGGTGAAATCCCAGCTGCATGGGGCTGAAGTCTGGGGCCCTGAGTCCCACCACCGAAACCCGAGCAACGGAACTTTGTGGGAGCCCCTGCGGGGTGGGGCCCCGGGGAATTGCCCTGCCTGCTACCCCTAAACACCGGCCCTGGCTTCTGGATGCAGAAATCCAGCGATGGGGGCACAGATGGGAGATTGGTTTTTATTTCCTCTTGGGGTGCAGGGCTCAGAAAGGAAAAGGCTGAGAACCCCTGGCTTAGATGCTGATACAAACCAGATGCATGGACGGATGGACGGACAGACGGACTTCCTTAGGCATACGCAGCACGTGCATCCCTGTAGGGCATCACTGACTGTAGGTTCCCCAAACTTAGTCGTGCCCTATGCTGTGTATGCCTGGGGCCACCGCCAGCTGCGGGCAATGCTGCCCCTGGCTGCCCCAGTCCCCTGCCTCCCCCCACTCTGGTCCCACCATCCCCAACCCTCCAGCCCTCGGCTTCTGCTCTTGGTCCGCAGCTCAGCTGGCTGTGCTGCTCGGTCTGCCAGCTCCCCTGCCAGCCTCCTGGCCTGCTTGTACTGTTGCTGTCCCCACAACCCTGAGTGCAGCTGCCCCTACAGAGTGACGCCTTCCCCCCCGCTCATAGGTAGCAAGAGATGGAGGGCACAGCTGTTCGGGCTGCATAGGGCACCAAAATATAAGGACAGCCCGAGGCAGACAGACAGAGAGTGTATGGGGATAGACAGACAGACAGAGACAGACAGACAGAGGGTGTATGGGGATAGACAGAGAGTGTACGGGGATAGACAGACACACAGAGACAGACAGACAGAGTGCATGGGGATAGACAGACAGATGTGGATGCTCTGGATGCAAAGAAGGTAGGAATTCTCTACTGACCAGTTTGCATCCACTTTATGGCCCTTGAGCACTGCATAGTGGAGTTAGTTGGCCGGAGTCTCCAGCCCTGTCTCTTAATGCATATGCACAAGGGGGCAGAGTTAAGGATAACTCTGTGACAAGGCTGCGCAAACATTTTGGTGTTTCCCAACTTAGGAGCATTTTGTCACGGTGATTTTTATGGGATATTACTTCCAAAGTATGGGGTGACTGGGTACCAGAAACAACAAGGAGTCCTGAGATACCTTCAAGACTATCAGATTTATAACATTTATAAATCTATGAGTTTCTAAGGTGCCCCGGGACCCGCATTGTTTTTGCAGATACAGACTCAAACAGTGAGCCCTATGAGACTGGGTTCCAGAGGGAAACAGTGCTAAGAAATTATAGCTAAAAAGCAAGGAATTTTTGTTAGCCCTCTGCCCCCGACATCTGTGCATTAACATGGTATTATTGCGATTTCAATGGGGTTAAGAAACCCAGGGCTTGGCTCATGTTTACAGGGTATCAGAGCATTGGGAAAACAGCAACCGTAGGAGAGGATTGCCCTCTTGTGGCTACATCACAGAACGAGGTGTCAAAAAGAGCTGCGTTCCAGTCCAATTGACCATGAACATTTCGGTGCTCTGTGCCTCAGTTTCCCCACTGGCAAAATGAGGCCGTGGTACTTGTCCTCCATGTAAAGTAGGGTGAGATTTCTGTTGAAGACCCCAGGAAGCAGTATGGTATTGTCACCAACATGGTCCTAGCCTCTGGCTGACTGAGTCTTGGTATATTCCGACCAACTGTGGTAGAAGTCCCGGAGAACGTGCTGCGTAGGAGAATTTTGCACAGGTGGGGCCAGGAGGTGGATCCAGAACCGCATTCAACAGAGTCTTTCCACCGAGTTCAGAGCCGAGACAGAACAAAGGCATCAGGCCCTAGCTTCCTTCGGGCCGGACCCACCAATCCTTTTGGATTTTGGCAAAAGACAATCGCTCCATTCCAGGGCCAGCCTACTGAACAGGCGCCAGGTTGGCAGTTCCACCTCCCTGCGTCCAGCAGGGCGCGGAGAAAGGACACGCTGGGGACAGCCAGGAGCAATCCGGCGGAGCAACCTCAGCATGACAGCTTTGCTCCCCATTAGGTTCCCCGGGCCCGACCAGCGCCTGCTGCCCCCGGAAACAGGATCTCGGACACTCATCTGCAAGAGAACAGACTCTGGGGCGGGCAGCCGTCTCACTGAGGAAATCCCAGAGCAAGAAAGCTGGCTTCTGAATCTTCAGCTTTCGTCCCGCTCGAGGAACTTGCCTGGGATCAGATATTATTCCAGGGGCTCGTGCAGTGAGCGGAGGACCAGGGTAATGTATTCCCATGGCTCTGTGTTGCCTTCTTTTTCACCTTCACAGTCAGCTGCGAACAGGGCCGGTTCCATTACCCACTAACGTGTATCCTCTCAGTGGCTGCGACCAGGCACGCAGTGTAGCCACCAGGTCTGGGGCGCTTTTACTGTGTCACAGCATCTGCCACCTGTGAGAATGACTAAGCTCTGGCGCGCCTGTGGGTTCCCTGTGACACCCGGCACGTGGGTGGCAGACGACGGTCCTCATAGCTCGTGTTATCTGCTTCCGAGTCTGGACAAGGCCGGACGGCACGTGCAGTGTTGGAGACCTCTCATTCGCCACGCACACACAGCCCGGCCTCCGCTGCAGGGCCAGCCCACGCAGCAGGACGTCGAGAAAGCGCCACGGGCCACCAGAAAGCGCAAAGGGGTGTGTGAGGAAGTCGGCCGTATTACCGAGGGCTGTCCCGAGAGCAGCGCAGGGCCTGGGGCAACTCCCCCGCTCCAGGGCCCCAAGCGTGGGGAGGCAACCTCCTCCTCTCTGCTCCACCCCTTCCCCAAGCCCCTCCCCTCCCCCAGCCCCGCCCTCT